TCCCTACAAAATCGTTTTTAGAAAAATGTTCTTACGATTTTTTGGTCCTGAGTTACTCGCGGATTAAGTAAAAAGGAATATTATGATATTTGCATATAGATATTTAAATATAAACATTTATAGATATTTGGATATGTACATTTGTGTAATTATATCTTATTATTATTATGACAGAATTATAATTCTATTGACGTCTACTCTATTTAGATTTTATGATACTTTCTTTGAATATTTTGACTATGTCAAATAATCATGTTATTATTTAATAATGAAATTAAACTCATTTAAATTTTAATTATTATATATAATATTATTTAATGTAGCGCACACTTTTATTTACTCATTATTTGTTAATACATTTGTTTATCATAATATTATAATTATTTTTTGTACTTAATATTGTATATGAATCCAAATTGCAATAATTCGATACGTGCTTATTTATCTATCTACGTATCCATCTATTTGTGTGTTTATCTAACTAATTATATGTCTATATGTCACGCTAAATAGTTCTGCTCAATTGAATCACGTAAGTACAGTTTGACTCTCTCTTTTTCTCTCTCATACTGTGTTTTAAATTTATCTAATTTCTTAAATTGCTAATTTCACATAAACTTCATTCACTTATGCGGTAAGTTGAGAACAAAGGAAAATATCATGATATTTAAATTTCTTCATAAATGTAAGTGCATATGGCAAAGACTCTATCAATCACTGCACCTTCACTCGCATGCCAATCTCACAGGTTCAATGAAAGACTTAAGAACCGTTCATATCAGTGAACGGTTCCCAAGTCTTTCGCAACTCAATGAATTTCACTAATGTATAAATGTTAAATTTATAATTAATTTATATTACTTCTTATATTTCTAATTTATTGCTTGATTTATTACTGAAGCAAGCACTATTAAAATAATGTTTGCTTCAATTAACTACGTTTGTCATAACGAACTTTAATTTTAAATTATATTTGTTATACATTTATGCTGTTTATTGCTATATACATATACATATAATGTAAAGTGATCCACGTGAAATATTTTTATCTATTATTACATTGATTTTTAATTAAAATTTTATAATATTTACATGGCATCCACATGCATTAAAAATGTGTTAAGTTTGTATAAATTAAATGTACAAAAGAGTACATATAATTAATAAACAATTTTTAACTTAGCAAAAATTTTATTTATTCGGAAAAAATATTTGAATTTTATGAAAAATATTAAATTTAATTAGTATAATTACTTTACGTGTTCTCAAAACATATCCAATCCATTGTGTGTATTATATTTACAGTTTTCTATATATTTAAACTCACATATATGGCGATGGCACGTATACCGGTTCTACAGACATTTCACAATTGTACAATGAAATGTGATTTGTGTATTCAATGACCCCTTTATGCTCCCACGATATATTTCAAAAACAACTGCAGGATATGTTGTATGTTCTAGCAGAGCGGTATATTAACGTGACATTAAGAATACCTATATATAATGAATCTACTGATCGCGAAATCAGACAATTTTCTCACAAGTCTCGATACCGAAGGACACGTGAATGGGCAGCCGGAACTTTTTAAGGACGCGGCCAAGAAAGCCACTGACTTTAACATGACTGAAAATGATGCATCATTATTTTATTTAGATACCTATCGACCGAAAAATTGGTAATACATACGTACGAAGTACAAATAAGGAAAGATGGTCAAAAGCCTATACTTCAAAAAAACTGAAGTACTAATGAATTAAAAATCCAAGGACTCCTTACTATAAGAAAGATTTTTAAAGCAGCGAGATGAGATATTCTCGTAAATAATTCGCGTTACTAAACATTCAAAGCTATAAGAATTCTTCTGCTGTAACAATTTTTGACAAAATTTAGTATCTATTTCCTATCAAGAACTAAAAGTACACAAAAATCTTTTATATATTCTTTGAAAATATAATGCATAAAAACGTTACAAAAAAGTAATTTTATTAAAGCATTATTTATATTAATATAAATAATTAAAAAACATTGATTTTCTTCGGTTTTGATAACGATTACGATATCTCAAATGGGAATCAATAAGTTTTTCTTTTAAATACAAATATTAAAAATATCTACAAATTGAACTTCACGAAAGAAAACTTTTTCTGAATTTCAAATTAATAAAATTTTTTAAAATGATCTAAATCGTAGCAAAAGGAAAATAATGTTTTTTAAATCATTCACAATGTTTGATAAAATTACTTTTTTACAACTTTTTATGCACAATTTTTTCACATAAATATTTAAAGATTACGTTTTTGAAAAATTCTCTCTTTAAGCACTTTTAGTCTTCAATTAGCAATAAATGTTTTATTAGAAATATATTTCCGTGTGAAAAAACCCTATAAATTCTTAATACAGTCAATTAAATTAATACAGTCAATATGTTTTGGACATTATTTTCATTTAAATTTTCCAAGCGTTTTAAATAATCGTTCGACGTACCTTTCATTCGCTTGTCCCAATTATCGAGACAGTACGTCATGGATATTGATAGTAATTTACGTGCACTAATTAATACTTCGATATCGATACTTAATCTGTGAATTTCTGCTACAGAAAACGGAGAAAGGATCAATTTTTTCCGATCGATTTCAGCGCGATGCAATTAGCGTATGAGAGTAACAATATAGCTGCTGCACTAAAATTAGTATGCATATATTCGTTCAAGTGTTTTTTATTTGTTCTTTATTTAAAGCATCACACGTGTTGCATAATTCGTTCCATAAGAACTGAATAAATATTTTGTTTCGCATATTATGACACATGAATGCAAAGATGAATAGATCGTGGAAATATACCGAAACGTATTATACATAATATACAACATTCCCATGCCAAGTATATTCAAACATTAATAGAAGATAAATATTTGAATTGACTAAATTACATTTAGAGCTGTCATAGTCCATAACCGCAGTTATTAAATTGATTATTATCTGCTCATAATCTCAGGAAATTGCATTATAAAAGATGTCTTTAGCAAAAAAATACTTCTCAAATATCTGTTTAAACTTTTCTATTTTCTTCAACAAAAGTTTTAAGATTATGACAAGAATGAGAAAACACACGATTTTGTTTTTGCAACAATTACCTACTCTCTAAATTTCTTGGAGTAAAATCTCACTCTTTTGGAATGAAAAGTCACTCCAAATATTCATGAAAATGCTGCCAATCGAAGTGGAACGAAATTTCACTTTTCAAAAGAGTGAAATTGCTCACTGTTCATTTGGATTTATTCTTTAACTCTAAAAAGAGTGACACGGTTCGTTCTAATTGAGTGAGGATTTCAATATTCTATATTAGAACGAGAATTCGGTATTTTTCTCTATGAGACAGTGCTGGAACTTACTTGCAATATTTGGCTGATTTTCAGCTCAGTTTCCTTCCCTTATATCTTATCAACCCGTGCGTAGTCTAAATGCCGAACGGCATTTATACTGTGCGTAGATTAATGAGGTAAAAGGCGGGTAACCAAGCTGAAAATCGGCCGAAAATTACAAGTACTGCAGTTAAGAGAGAAAGAATATTTCACTAAATAATTTGACGCTCCCGAGTTATTTTATTATATATATATAATATATATATATATATATGCTATATATACAGAGTAAGTCATTTTAATCAATACACGCGAATATCTCGAAAAGGAGAAATTTTTTCAAAAAATGTTTCAAACAAAAGTTTTATGGTTTCAAAGGGGAAAGAAGATAGTGACCTTATTTGACCTTGAGAAGATGTCCTTAAGGTCAGGTCCATGTTAAATAAAATTTTTTAAACGGGACCCTCTATTTTTTATTACGTATTCTTATAGTTTATTTCAAGAGCTTTCCAAAACGCTATAATAAAGTATTTTTTTGTTAAGTACATTTCGAGTTATGAGGTTCGAAAGTTACAGTACTGCCGGCATTTGCATTATCTAAGGTGTCCGACCGACGGCTAAAATCTGTTAAATGTCATTCAGGATCACGATCTGGATGACATTTATCAAAATCAAGGCGATTGAAGATTGTACCTCTTATTTTCATTTTTACGTAAAAATGAATTTTTAGTACAAAAATGAAAATAAGAGAAATAATCTCTAATGGCCTTGATCTTGACAAATGTTATCCAGGACATGATCCTGAGAAGAGAGGCGTTAGGCGCGATTTGGCGGGATTTCAGCACTTTAAGTTGGAGTGAAGTTTAGAGCATTAATAATTTCACTTTAAAAATAAGAGTGAAAATCTTCACTTTTTGTCTTAGTGTGTGAATGAATTTACTCTATTAAAGTGAATACTTCCTCTACGTGGAGTGAACTGGTCAGTGGCTCCAGGATTAGAGTGAAAATTTCACTCCAAAAAATTTAGAGAGTACATTTGAATATACATATTTTTC